CTACCTAGCCGACATTGCCCTCTCTTTGTTAGGCATTACCGTGCTAAATACTTTCCAACACAGCCGTTAAAGATGTGTTCAATTATTCTACTCAAATGCGAAAAACTGGAAGGCTACAATCACGTTTATTTCTAGCCTAATATTACACTAGCTTATTAAACTCTTATTAGACGTTACGTTCCGAATGAAGTCAAAAATCGAGAGTGAAAATCATTGATGTTTGTCCGGAACGTACAGATAAGAAAGTGAGCAAAATGGCGAGCCACACCCCTTGATTCCTAGAAAGAAGATAAAGGACGCCGGCAAAGGGAACGGCGGGAAACTACGTACAGAGCAAATTTCCTTTGCATTTTCATATCCTAATCTAAACAAGAACAAACCGATTGAACAAGACTGAAATAACTTACTGACTGAAAAGCAAAGAAGAAAGGCGAGACCAAACAGGATCTTCATGTTGCAAGGGTTGTACAATTCTCCTCTGCTGCTGAGGGGACACTTCAAGTGGATGCAAAATATCCCTGAACGCGTTTTATTAAAATACAAACGATGTTATCCACTACTCTACTTTTAAGTTGGGTAGTAGAAGCGCCTGTCAGTCTGTCAATTCTAAGTCTATAATACCCAATAGAAACTCAAGTCACTCTTAAATTTGATTGATAATTGGCCACCCGTGATGTAAAATGTTCTTTTGCGTTTTCCTAGAAACTGCCCCATTATTTAATTAGTACGGCACGTTGTAATTGGTCAACTATTTTTATCAAATATGTTTTTGTTTCGTGCTTCCCTCTTGTCCTTAGTCTTATTGCAGCAGGAAGTGACACACAGGTTAAATCTCGTTTCTAAATCGAAGGAAACGAATCTTTCAGTATTCTCTCAGGATAGTCAGACTCAGGTGTATGAAAAGGCGTGGGTTAATTAAGGTACTGAAGAAAATGAAGCTGGGTGGCTTTTGTACCACGTTAGTCAAGGTTATGATATAAAACACCGCTTGAAGGCATTACAGAAGTTGACAAGATGAGTCACGTGACCGCAAATGATATCTAATGATATCTCACATGCACAAGGGCTTTGTATGCTCGTTCTTTGGATTTGACCGAACAAGTGCGGAAATTGCGGCTTAGAATGTTCAGAGTCTTGTTTGCTTTGGTGGTAATTTCATTTACATGATCATTCCAGCGTAATATCACGCGAGAGATAGATCCCTAAATATTTAGTAGCATCAACAGTTTCAAGGATCTTGCCATAAAGTTTGTAGTGAAATTTGAAAGGTGTTCGTCTGCGTGTTACCCGTATAACGTTGCACTTGCTTGGATTAAATTCCATAAACCAGTCCATAACGTACGCCCCCTCATTAAGATGCAGCCGTGTGCTCAGTGCCCAGGCCTTTAAAAGTGTCGAGGCTTGGGGTGACCTTGTTTTGTTACATTATACCAGTTTCTATTTTTCAAATGTAAATGATCATGATCATGGGTCTGTTTGCAAAAAGTGAGAATAATACGGTTGTCACTCTTTGCACTAGAAAAGCAGGAAGGTTTGTAACATTACATAACAAGGTCAACTCCATCGTCGTTTCTATTTAAAGTTCAGGGCACTGAGCAAACAACTGTATAATGGCCTGCCGTTAACTGACACTTTTTAATTCCCCCCCAACTTGCCTTCCCAGTTATAAACCCATGTATCTGCAAAAAAAATATGTAATAAAATTCATACTAAAATGTGCTAGCCTTGGAGATGTGTATGATGAGGATTAATTTGGAAAAATTAGCATAACAAGTTAAAAAGTGAATGTTATAAAGCGGATTTTTGACCGGTTTGTTAGCTAGGTTCGTCTTGAAATTTCCAAAAAACAGTTTCAAACATTAATATATACATCATGCCGAGATTGTGTGATGAGGTTTAAGAAGAATTCTGTCGAGCCTTTTTAGAGATAAACAGAAAAGCGCTAAAAGTGAAAATTTAGAATAAAGTTGCACTTAGGCAGGTGGTGAGAAAACAGCTTAGTTTTCAAGAATACACCTATTTTCACGTTTCTTGCCGGAAGTTAGGACCCGCGTTTGTGGAATCGACTAAAGAATCTTACAGAACTGGACAGCATTTTAATTCGACTCTTTCCTTTCGTAAAATTATTCGACGAATACGCTCTCCACGCATGGAATCTTTGGAAATCAGAACAGAAAGAGCGTTCGTCAACACCAAATACAACTGAAGTTCGACAAAGTTACGCTACCTAGCCGACATTGCCCTCTCTTTGTTAGGCATTACCGTGCTAAATACTTTCCAACACAGCCGTTAAAGATGTGTTCAATTATTCTACTCAAATGCGAAAAACTGGAAGGCTACAATCACGTTTATTTCTAGCCTAATATTACACTAGCTTATTAAACTCTTATTAAACGTTACGTTCCGAATGAGGTCAAAAATCGAGAGTGAAAATCATTGATGTTTGTCCGGAACGTGCAGATAAGAAAGTGAGCAAAATGGCGAGCCACACCCCTTGATTCCTAGAAAGAAGATAAAGGACGCCGGCAAAGGGAACGGCGGGAAACTACGTACAGAGCAAATTTCCTTTGCATTTTCATATCCTAATCTAAACAAGAACAAACCGATTGAACAAGACTGAAATAACTTACTGACTGAAAGGCAAAGAAGAAAGGCGAGACCAAACAGGATCTTCATGTTGCAAGGGTTGTACAATTCTCCTCTGCTGCTGAGGGGACACTTCAAGTGGATGCAAAATATCCCTGAACGCGTTTTATTAAAATACAAACGATGTTATCCACTACTCTACTTTTAAGTTGGGTAGTAGAAGCGCCTGTCAGTCTGTCAATTCTAAGTCTATAATACCCAATAGAAACTCAAGTCACTCTTAAATTTGATTGATAATTGGCCACCCGTGATGTAAAATGTTCTTTTGCGTTTTCCTAGAAACTGCCCCATTATTTAATTAGTACGGCACGTTGTAATTGGTCAACTATTTTTATCAAATATGTTTTTTGTTTCGTGCTTCCCTCTTGTCCTTAGTCTTATTGCAGCAGGAAGTGACACACAGGTTAAATCTCGTTTCTAAATCGAAGGAAACGAATCTTTCAGTATTCTCTCAGGATAGTCAGACTCAGGTGTATGAAAAGGCGTGGGTTAATTAAGGTACTGAAGAAAATGAAGCTGGGTGGCTTTTGTACCACGTTAGTCAAGGTTATGATATAAAACACCGCTTGAAGGCATTACAGAAGTTGACAAGATGAGTCACGTGACCGCAAATGATATCTAATGATATCTCACATGCACAAGGGCTTTGTATGCTCGTTCTTTGGATTTGACCGAACAAGTGCGGAAATTGCGGCTTAGAATGTTCAGAGTCTTGTTTGCTTTGGTGGTAATTTCATTTACATGATCATTCCAGCGTAATATCACGCGAGAGATAGATCCCTAAATATTTAGTAGCATCAACAGTTTCAAGGATCTTGCCATAAAGTTTGTAGTGAAATTTGAAAGGTGTTCGTCTGCGTGTTACCCGTATAACGTTGCACTTGCTTGGATTAAATTCCATAAACCAGTCCATAACGTACGCCCCCTCATTAAGATGCAGCCGTGTGCTCAGTGCCCAGGCCTTTAAAAAGTGTCGAGGCTTGGGGTGACCTTGTTTTGTTACATTATACCAGTTTCTATTTTTCAAATGTAAATGATCATGATCATGGGTCTGTTTGCAAAAAGTGAGAATAATACGGTTGTCACTCTTTGCACTAGAAAAGCAGGAAGGTTTGTAACATCACATAACAAGGTCAACTCCAGTGTCGTTTCTATTTAAAGTTCAGGGCACTGAGCAAACAACTGTATAATGGCCTGCCGTTAACTGACACTTTTTAATTCCCCCCTCCCTACTTGCCTTCCCAGTTATAAACCCATGTATGTGCAAAAAAAATATAAAATAACTAAATACATGCGATTTTACGCTCCCCTTCATATGTATTGAAGGCGATTTATTTAGACGTTTTGAAATTTAATCACCAGTAAAACGTATTTTGAGCAGCATTGTCATAGGTTGTTTCGCAGCCCTTTTCGAATTCCTGTTATAAGTCCCTCCGTTTATAAGCCCCCCTAAAACAGCGGCAGTTTATGATATTAGCGCACAGTGCGAAGCCAGAGAAATTTACCTTTCAATTCAGCTAACGACATGAGCAGCTAGAAGCGAAGAAAATGAAACGGCGGCACACGGACAAGCTTCGTTTCTAACAAACTGATGCTATCTTTAAACATATGTCCTTTTATCCATTCATCAACAAGAATTTTTGACTGGCACGCAACTAAACTATGTTGAATAATTCGTGGCATCAGGAATTCTTTGGAGTAAAGCACAAATTTTTGGTATAATTGCAATCCTTGTTAGTTTCTTCGGCGTTACTCCCTTACTCTTTCTAGTAATACCCTTTAAAATTGGACCTGCTTCCTTCTCTAGATATGGGCTGCCATCCATCCGGAAAACTTCTTGTGAAAATTGATAGGTTAGTTGTATGTGCCTGCTAGAGAAAGGACAAGAAACTGAGCCGCGGTTGCGTAATATTGGTTCAAGACCACTTGTTAGAGGGTGCTATCCCTGTGGTATCTCGACGTATTGCTTGATGGAAAGGGGGAGAGAAGACATATTGTTCTGAATAAAGTTGTGTTGGTGAACATTTGCTGTGTTGTCTCTGATCCGACATCTTATAACACCACAAGAGCTGTTAGAAGGCACTGCTGGAATCGGTGTTTTCCTCAGGTTTGCAGAATAGCTCGAAATAGAAGAGAGATGTTAAGAGAATATTTTTTCCAACATTGATTTCACTCAAGACAAGTGATTGTTATAAGTTCGTGACTGACCTCAGTGCCATAAAGAGCCTAATATATTTAGATAATGTTATCATGTTGTAAATGCCTGATGAACTGTGAATTCTTTTCACAGTATCGGATTCACCTCTCTTTACGCATCCATCCTTTACACTAAAACTCAGTATCAGTGGGAAATTAAAGGAAACAACAGTTTTTATTTCACTGCATTATAAAAACTACAACAAAATAGAACTAAGCTAAAGATCAACTCTCATGATTTGAATCGTCTTTTTTCCTTCAAATTGGATTCAAATTAACAACTTCCGTTAAAACCCTTCATTTAAAAAAATCTATGTCTATTTAGGACTGTTGTTCCTTTCACTACTGTGAGCTACATCTCAGTTTTTTATCTTCAAACTTATCGAGCAAAAGCTAAAATAGCGCATGCCAACAGCATGATGGCGCTGACCATTGGTACGTCGGCTCCATTGCACAGGTCACCTGTACAGCAATTGATTTCGCATTTGGTGATTTTCACTGAGGGATAGATCGATTTGCAGCTCTTCGCGCTGCAGTCAGATGAAGTGGCACATCCTTTGACAAAGCCTTCAGCTGTCGCGGCTGAGCTCTCAGCTTTTACATCCGCTTTAGCACAACGGTCCTGACTGACCAGACAGGTTACCTCTTTTGCACTGCTTTTGCAGTCATCCCAGCTCTTAAGAGAGGTACATTGGTAGCATTTCAGGGCATAACCTGAAAAAAAGAAACAAATACAAAAATAGAATTAACAGCCCGAATCTCGAAGGCCAACACACCGAACTATCCCGTAGTAACAATTCAATATTTTTGTTTTTCGACTCGTAAACAATTTGGTATTAAACGGATATATATTGAACCTTTGCCCATCACCTCATCTCATCAAACAAGCTTTTCGCGGCGAAAAACTCGCGAAATGTTGGACAAACTTGTAGAGGACTGACACAATTCAGTTTCGTCTGCGTTGCTAGAGATAAGTAACAATATTTAAGCAACAACAATAACAATAAGCTTGATTTACATGACTGAAACAAAGTGTTACAGTATTGCAAAAGCTACTTGAATTTAATTATTGATTCCTTTTTAAATTAAATATTCAAAATAACTTTAAATATATTAAACATTACTTATTTTCAACCATCAGTAGGATTAATTATTCCGGAGACAAGTTTGTCTCTCAATTCAAACCAGGATGATATAAATGAAATTTAATTGGATGTTAATAAAATAGTCAGTAGAATTCATTAGATTTGATAATAAGGTCTCATGTGATTGTAGTCGTAGAAACTGTATTTTAGGCTCTAGTTTGGAGAAGAACATCTCTATTATGGAAGAAAAACTTGGACAATCTAATAAAAAGTGAGTTTCATCTTCAATTCTGTTACAATTGCCTTTCACCACGTGGTATATTGCCGTATCTACCTGTTATAATCCTAAATTTGTGACTGCTTGTTCTCAGTTTCACTAATGTTTTCCTAGAAGGGTTCTTTCTTGATAGATCTAGGTAGGCGGGGGGGCTATAATTCGTTTTGATTTTTAATAAAAGCTAAGTTTTGTGAATGTTGAAGGGTGATTCCAGTACGAGATATATTTCTTTTGTATAAGATCTACATATTGCTTAATTTTACATTCATTCAGTTAATTACAATTAAAGTCTGGGAAATCATAGTAGTCAGTCATCTTCTTGAGATTGGATTAAAAACTATTTTGACCATTATGATGAAGGTCAACGGATATTTTTAAGAACAACCTCCAAAAAACAGAACGGCAAGATCTAAATTTCTCCAAAAGTTACCATACCTGCTCTTTAAAAAAAAAAAAAAAATGGAAATAATACACCGAAACTTAAAATTGGAAGTGAAAGTCGGATGTTGGGAAGAAAACGCCCGTACAAACGATATTGTTTTCGTTACTTCAGCCCTCTTTGAAACCCCAAATATGAGAAATCTGTGTGACGCGTTCAATCAGTTCCTCTGACAAAGGTAATTCCACGTTCGAGTGTTGGCAAATGTCATGTCAAAATCAACCAATCACAGAGCATTAGAACTGAAAAGCACACATATTTAAGGCGTTCTGTCGCCCTCTCTCCTCGCACAGATCAGCAATTTCCTGCTCTCTTTTATCCTTCTGTAAAAGCTGACAGGCTATCATATAATATCGATAACAAAATAAACCGCTTTTTACATTACGTAACGGACGGCCCTCAGGTGATTCAAAGCACTAAAATAACTGGAACTGACTGCGTGCTTTCTTGGATTGCGCATCCTTCTTCCGGTTTCCGAATACTTTCAAAGAGACATCAAGTCCGTGCAATAATGTACGAAATTACCAAGAATTTCTTCACCTCGTTATGGGAAATAAGTGAAAATTTACTTCCTTCCTTACTTCAGTATTGACTTACCCTTTTTTGATAGATGCCGGAAATGAATAGTAGAATACAACACTCACCGATTGAATGTAGAGGAAAGCTAGTTTTACAGTCATGACATACACCATGAACGCGAACGCTCATAGTATCGACATCAACAACAATGAGGAACTAATTATGTTGCGTGCATTTACTGTTCCTCTTGCAAACTTGAGATCACGACACGAGTAAAAAACGTTTCGCCCAATTTGTTGCGCAGCAATGTTGAGTTTAAATAGTTAAATGCAGGGAAGATCATCACAATTAAATGCACAATTTAAGCAGTTACGAAAAAAAAGCCTGCAAAATTCAGACTTACTGGCTTTCTTTTCGTAACTACTTAAGTTGCGCATTTAACTGTGATGATTTTCTCTACATTTATTTCTGCATTCCGCAGTTGTAATATATGAACGTGTCAATGTTTAGCTTGCAAATGAGATTGTTTGTGGTTCGACACTTTCTTCTTGCACAACCTCTCTAATCCTGTTTGCGCACATTATAAAACGAGACCAATTATACCAAAACAGCCGTATTTTTGCTTGTTACACTTATTTTCACGTTTATTGCCGGACGTTAGCACCCGAGTTTGGGGAGTCCACTAATAAAAGAATCTTACAGAACTGGAGAGCATTTTAATTCGAATGTTGCATTTCGTAAAATTCACCGACGAATACGCTCACCACGCATGGAATCCGTGGAAATTAGAACTGAAAGAACGTTCGTCAAGACAGTACCGTGCTAAATACTTCTTAACACAGCGGTTAAAGATGTGTTCAATTATTCTACTCAAATGCAAAAACTGGAGGCTATAATCACGTTTATTTCAATTCTAATATTACACTCTGGCTGATTAAACTCTTATCAAACGTCACGTTCCGAATGAAGTTATAAAGAGAGAGTGAAAATTATTGATGTTTGTCCTGATTGTGCGGATAGAAAGTGAGCAAAATGGCGAGCCACACCCCCCGATTCCGTGAAAGAAGATAAAGGACGCCAGGAAAGGGAACGGCGAGAAACTACCGAGCAAATTTCCTTTGTACTTATATCCTAATCTAAACAAGAAGAAACAGATTGAATAAGACTAAAATAACTTACTGTCGACTGAAAAGCAAAGAAGAAAGACGAGACCAAACAGGATCTTCATGTTGCAAGTGCTGTACAATTCTCCGCTGCTGCTGAGGGGACACTTCAAGTGGATGCAAAATATCTCTGAACGCGTTTCATTAAAAGACAGACGATGCTATCCACTACCCTACTTTTAAGTTGGGTAGTAGAAGCGCCTGTCAGTCTGTCAATTCTAAGTCTATAATACCCAGTAGAAACTCAAGTCACTCTTAAATTTGATTGGCAATTGCCAATCATAAAAAGCCAGAATAAAGCCAATCAAAGAAGATCACATTTGGGCACTCAAAAGACCACCCGTGTTGCAACACGATCTTTTGCGTTTTCCTAGAAACCGCCCCATTATTTAGTACTTAGTATCGCACGTTGCAATTAGTCAACTATTTTTATCAAATAATATGTTTTTCTTTCGTGTTTCCCTCGTGTCCTTAGTTTTATTGCAGCAGGAAGTGACACACAGGTTAAATCTCGAATGAAAACGAATCTTTCAGTATTCTCTCAGGATAGTCAGATTCAGGTGTATAAAAAGGCGTGGGTTAATTAAGATACTGAAGAAAATGAAGTGGGGTGGCTTTTCTACCACGTTAGTCAAGGTTATGATATAAAACACAGCCTGAAGGCATTACAGAAGTTGATATCACTGATATATCAATATTTATCTTTAGCAAGCGTACACCAACTTAACACAACTTGACAAACAAAATAAACGCTCAGGGGATCTCTATAAATTAACCCAGGTGTGACAGTTAACCCCAAGTGCGGCAACTTAAAGGGACTGTGTTATGGCTGGCTCGTTCATTGTTTGTAATGCAAATTACGCGTCCTTGTTTCCAACGAAACTTGCCAAATAACCTTTCAATTACAAAAAACACAGCTTCCTGCTAAATAGATATGTTTCCGTGGCATTATACTAAACGGTTCACACAGCAAAAATGACTGACTTTGAAAAGCTGTTATCAAAACCCGCAATTACAATCACAATCTTCTTCAAGTTTGTCAGTCAGTGTTTCCTTTTGTATTTGCTGTGTCTTATATACCTTTTTGTAATGTTTTGAGCAGTTAGTTTTTTTAAACTTACAAAAGTCTCACTCAGTTTGATGGCAGTTCCGACAGTTTGAAATTTTGTAAACTGTTTCGTGACATAGGTCATTTAACAGCGCTTTAGTGTTAAGCCAACGACTATGAAGCATCAAACTGTCAAACTGTTTGTCCGGTTGTTAATGCTTTAACCCAAAATGCAAAAACAAAGGAGTATTTTACTCTTCCCTTCTCTTCAAGTTTTTTTCTAACAGTTCATATTATTTGTTGACATTTCTCCTATTATCCTTTTTTACGTGAATGCAGTAAAACAATGTTAGTACAACGGGGATAGAATGCACATAGAGTGTTTTTTTGCGTGTTGTTTCTTGACATCCCCGAATCTCGCTTCTGAGTGTTATTTCAGTCGCGAAAAGAGAAAAAGGAAATCAAGCTGATCGGCATAAAAACGAAGGAAAGCGGTTTTAGGCCATACAATAAACAACCAATCACGATACAATAGATTCCCGCACAATTGCTGTTATTTGCTCCTTTAAATCAGCTTCGATCTTGTTCAAGTGTTTCAATGGAGGAAGATTATATATTTTTTTCTCAGGAGAAGGAGAACGAAGATTAGAAAGACGAGTGAAAAAAACGCAGGTGGCAGCTGAGAGACTGGCACAAATGTTTCGAGTGGTTCATACCGCAGATTATTGTAATTGATCTGATGTTTTTCAAGTGTTTTCGTGGGGAATGCATGAGACAACTATGGAAGAACTTGAAAGGCTGATGATGCGGAAACTCTAACGTCAACTATTTTGATTACTTTCCAGTTTCATGGGTATGGGGTCCGTGGGTATACATCAGCTTAAATACAATAATCTGCGGTATGACTTACTCGAAATATTTGTGTCAATCTCTCTACTGCCACCTGCATTTTTTTTCACTCGTCTTTCTACTCTTCGTTCTACTTCTCTCTGCGGTATGACTTACTCGAAATATTTGTGCCAATCTCTCCCGCTGTCACCTGCGTTTTTTTCACTCGTCTTTCTACTGTTCGTTCTCCTTCTCCTGAGAAAAAATAAAAGTAATCTTCCCCCATTGCAGCAAGATGGAAGCTGATTTAAAGAAGCAATATCTCGTATACGGAATATTCTTCTGGCCTGAAACTTGGCGAGGGTCTTTGTACATTAAATTACCTCCTTTAATTTGCGAGATTCCGGACTTTAACTATTGAACGGTTTTGATTTTTATTTTGATCTATTTTGAATGGCGTGACACTGAAAAGCTGATTTAAAACAACGTGTATTGTTTTTTATAACAATATTTCGGCTGGCCATACCAGCCTGCTTAGTTTCACCTATATACTGTAAATTACAACGGTTACATTGAACCATGTAGATCACATTTTTAGTGTTACAAGTAATGTGTGAAGTGATGGAGCGTGTTTCACCTGTAGCGTAAAAGGTATAACTTGTGAGGCCGTTAGTAATGTATGGACAAGTGGCACAATTCTGTCCACAGCGGAAGGAGCCTGGCGGAAAATGATTGGTGGAGATAACGGGTAGTAGTGCTTTAACTTAAAGGTCACGAAGATTAGAGCTACGTCTGTAAGCAACAAAAGGCGGTTGCTTAAAGACCTCTTTGCAACGGTTAGAGGAGTGTAAGATGTTAAAATGTTTGCGTAGGATATTAGAAATGCGTGGAAGTGCTGGGTTATATGTGACGTCTCAAGGACAGATTTAACGAACACAGACGTGCAGTCGACAAAACTAACATTAAATCTAAACCCACTACTGTTTCTGAACACTTTCTCTCTCACTCTAACCATTCTCATACTGACATGCAGTTAATCCCACTAGAGAAAATTCATTCTTCACGTGACTCAGTTCGTAAGGCCAGGGAGTCGCATTTGATAGATAAGGCCATAACTCTTGAACCTCATGGCCTAAACCGCCGTGACGAATTATTGTAATTCATATCCTTAGTATTTTTCCTTTCCAGTTTTTATTTTGTACGTCATTTCCGCCTCTCCCTTTTATTGCGACATTCTCCATCTATATAATATTGTGATTGCTACGTAAGTTCAGTAACATCTGTAAACCTGAAGAAGGCTGGTATGGCCAGCCGAAATATTGTTATAAAAAACAATACACGTTGTTTTAAATCAGCTTTGCAGTAGTCTTTGGACTTCTCGTTCTTGGTTCTTTATATTTTGGCTGATTTGATCTCTTTTCTAGAGATCCAACGTTTACAACTAGCAGGATCTTCGTCCACGGTTTTTGTAGTTAATTCAATCCTTTATTAGTGACACTAAAAACCAGCAATTGTATCGTGATTGGCTGTTTTTCTTTACTTCCGGGTTAGTTTCATTTCCGTTTTGAGTGCAGAAAAAAATGAAAATTGACCACAGATTTTTCATTTTTGTATGTTCCGAAAAAAAATGAAAATTAAACATAGATTTTCATTTTTGTAATTTCAATTTCTAAAAAAATTAAAAAATTAAACACAGATTTTCATTTTCTATGTTTAGAGAAGTGTGAGACTTTTATTTTTAATTTTTTGAATTAAAAAAGGAAATGAAAATTGAAAAAGATTTTCATTTTTCATTTTTCAACTTTCAGAAAAAATGAATGACTCCAATATACACGTGTTGTCGGAGACCCAAAATGGCCTAATTTTTAACCTGAAATTTGCTAACACAACCTAACCTTCCTCACGTTTGCAAACAACGCCGCATGGAGAAATCTGGACACTTCCCATCAACATAACAACTCTTTTTCTTTCACTAGAAGATACTTTTAGGAAAATAGCGAAACACGTTGAACTGAAATATTTTTAAAATGAAGACTAGGTTTTCACGATAACAAAAACTTAAGTTTATTACTCATTTTCGACGGCAAAATATGACATGTGGTATAACTCCAAATTCTCTTCATCCTAGGTAAATCACATATTTAGACATTCATCTAAAACATACCTGGGAATTGGCTTGGCCATTTGAAGGAAATCTCCGTAAGACGGCACCGAAGTTCAGGAAATTTCATGGTAGGCCAACTTTGAAACGCACAAAAGTAGATATTTAAAGCCTAAATACTACTTCTTCGTACTTCTTGTAGGTTCCATAGTTCCATAGTTGCTTTTGTGGTCAAGGAGTGAGGAAAAAAAGTCAAACTTGGTCAATTTTAGCCATTTTGAAACACCGAACTCCACTGATCCACTAGCTGGCGACTCTGCGTGACGACCTGTTCCGTGAGTGCCGTGACGTGACGTACTTTAGAAGAGAGTCGGTAGTAACGCAACCAGCGCGGATAAAGGTTGGGCGGTCAGTATCTCATGTAAGACTCCATAATATGTCCCGAATATATATTCTGTTAACAATGTTATTTGTTGTTTTTCTCCTAATTTCCCCCTGTTTTCCCATGTTTTCCTATGTTTTTCCCTGTTTCCCCCTGTTTTCCTATGTTTCCTATATTTTTCCTTATTTTCCTCTGTTTTGTTCTCCTGTTTTCCTACGCTTTCCCCTCTGTTCCTTTGTTTTTCCCTGTTTTCCTATGTTTTCCTCTGTTTTCCCTTGTTTTCCAATGCTTTCCCCTGTTTTCCTATATTTTCCTATGTTTTCGGCTGTTTTCCTCAGGTTTCCCCTGTTTTTGTATGTTTTCCGTGTTTTGCCATGTTTTCCTATGTTTTCCATTGTTTTCTCTTATTTTCCTATGAATTCCCCTGTTTTCCTATGTTTTCGCCCATTTTCCTATTTTTTCTCCTGTTTTCTTATGTTTTTGTCTGTTTCCCCTGTTTTCCTATACTCCCTGTTTTCCTCTGTTTTCTCCTGTTTTCCCTATGTTTTTCCCTGTTGTCCTATGTTTCCCTTTTCTTCCTGTTTGCCCCAGTTTTTCTCTGTTTTTCCGTATTTTCCTCTGTTTTCTCCTGTTTTCTATGTTTTTCTCTGTTTTCCCCTGTTTTTCTATGTTTTCCCTGTTTTCCGTATTTTCCTATGTTTTCTCCTGTTTTTCTATGGTTTTCTCTGTTCCCCCCTTTTTTTCATGTGT